ACGAAAACCTCGTCTCCTTACAGGGCTACTGCCAGTACGCGAACGATCGGCTGCTCATCTACTCGTACATGGAAAACGGAAGTCTCGATTATTGGCTGCACGAACGGGCCGACCCAGGTGCTGCCCTTCCTTGGCCCGCCCGGTTAAGGATAGCCAGAGGGGCGGCCCGCGGGCTGGCCTACCTGCACCGGGAACAGAACATAGTCCACCGTGACATAAAAACAAGCAATATCTTGTTGGACGAGAATTGCGAGGCCCACTTAGCGGATTTCGGGCTTTCGAGGCTGCTGAGGCCATACGACACGCATGTGACGACGGATTTAGTCGGGACTTTGGGTTATATTCCGCCGGAGTACAGTCAGACGTTAACGGCGACTTTTAGAGGGGACGTTTATAGCTTTGGGGTTGTGCTTTTGGAGCTTCTAACCGGAAGGAGGCCGGTGGAGGTTTGTAAGGCGAAAAGTTGCCGGGATTTGGTGGCGTGGGTTTACCGGATGAAAACCGAGAGGCGGGAGGTGGAGATATTCGATACGACTATAAGAGGGAAGGATTGTGAGGAGGAACTTATGGAGGTTCTTGGTGTAGCTTGTAAGTGTATAGAGAAAGATCCTAGGAGGAGGCCCTCCATTGATGAGGTTGTTTTGTTGCTTGATGGGCTTTGTCATAGGAAGAAAGGTTTGAACTGAGTTAAATATATATATATATATATACCTTTTTTTTTGTTTACTTCATTTCTATTTGGTTTGCCTTTCTTCAGGAGAAAAAATTGTATCTTAACCAGAATTAAGATTTCAGTTGTATAGTTGTACATATGTTACTAAAACCTCAGATTTGTGTTGTTTATATGTCATGTCCCTTGCTGTTTAGAGTTTCTTTCACAAGAAAATAAGTAATAAAATATTTTTTTGCCAAATGAATAATAAAATATTAAATATGTCAAAAAATTGTACAAAATACCAACAAATTAAAATACATTTTTTTTTTGTTTATTAATTATTGTTGTATTTCCATGGCAAAAGCCTGTCCATCAACAGCTGTAGTTTGTTTGTTATCTGTTCACCAGAGTACATTATCTTTATACGCAGGTTTAGTTTTTTCTCTACAAAACAGACAAAGAAGTACATGCAAAGCATCATAATATCTCATCAGTCGCCTGAGTTTTCATGTTAAAACTGAAAAAAAAAATAAAAATTACGATATTTTCTTTTTTCTTTCGCTCTACAAATCACTAGAATCCAAAACCCTAATAAGATTAGGGCACATGCAAGCGGAGCAATTTTGTTCGAATTTGTATCCATTTAATAAAATGAGTCGGGTCGGGTAGGGTCAACTCGATTATCAAACCCAACATCATAAACAATATGTACGAAAATATGATCCATAAACATTCTCGGCTCGACTATTTGTTCGAACCCTATAAAAGAATAACAAAAACTAAAACGGTTTCGGCTCGACTTGTTTAATACACGAGCTCAATTAGCTACTCGAGCTCGTTTATAGGAGTTAATGCAAGCACCATAACCTTGTTTAATACACGAGCTCAATTAGCTACTCGAGCTCGTTTATAGGAGTTAATGCAAGCACCATAAAGAACCTAGTACAAGAAAATCAACTCATCTATATTTTTCTTCTCATTGTAGCTTTTGATTATCATCCCACCTAACTAAAACTTCATAGCACACTTGCTAAATTTAGCAATTCCAAGCCCGAAACCCGCTTCGTGGTTTGGTCCGAACCCATTAAGCTTGTAGTCCGGGCCGAATTGGCTGGCTCGATCAATTTCCAATTCAACGTTCAATATGGCGCCATCAGACTGGACCCACTGAGCATGTAGTCCGAGCCGACTTGGTTGGCTCGACCAATTTCCAATTAAACATTGTTCAATCTCCAAATTCCAATTCGACATTCCATACTGTAGCTACATTTCCCATTATTATTATTACTAGTACAACACCCGTGTATTACACGGGTGTTTGTTAAAAAATTGTTCTTAAATTTTAAAATTAATGAGAAAACTAAATTATATTTTTACCAAAAAAATATATTACTATATATTTTAGAATGATATGTGTTACTTATAAC